TCAGATTTTAATCCGGAAATTTGTTAACAAAACCTGTGATTTTCCGGAACTAAAAAACCGGATTTTTTCCTGATTTTTGTCTTTTATTTTTTTTTACAGAGAAATCGGTATATGATACTATATGCTGATTTCTAATCAAACTCGAACCAGACTCGAACTCGCACATGGTTTGATTCAAGTTCAGTTCAAACTTCAAACTTTTCTTGAACTCAAGCCAAAGTCCGATTCGAGTTCGGTTCGGTTCATAGGAACAATATATAGCCATAATATCCAAAAAAAAGTGAAACTGAAAAGTAGCTAAATATTGATGACAGACTGTGAACGAGTTGATGAAAAGAACATGCGATTTGTATTGGAGGGTTGAGGAGTGAGGAGATTCTGAACAAACAGTTCTTTTTATTGAAAAATTGAAAAATGATTTGGGTTCTATTTTTAAATAATATTTAAAGTTTATTAGTTTTTTAATTATAAATGATTTTATTATTATTTTTTTATAATTAATATATTTTTATAATTAATATATTTTTTATGTTTATTAAGTATAGTATCATAAGATCTAAACGATTTTTTTAATTACAACAATTAATATTTATGCAATAAACATAATAATCTGTTCCTCTAATATCACAGATGGTGTAAATTTATTGTTGAAAAAATGTTGGGATCCTATTCGAAAAAACAGACCTTTATTAAATCTATTTGCGGAAATTTAAGCAAACTGAATACTTGGCATTTTCAGAACTGTAACTCTTCAGGTGACCGATTCAGTATTCACTTCGGAAAATTGATTTGTGACTTTAACACCGGATTCCTTCCGAAATGGGGTCAACCACATTATCCCGTGTCAGATTACATGACTCGCAACGCTTTAACCGCTTCCCAAAATGAGCCATTTTTGGGGATATGATAAAGCTGAAAATGAGTTTTTTTTCTAATTGGCTAAATAAATCTCACCCAAAAACTCGTACGATAATGATGATGTCATCGGGTAAACTAGGTTCAAATACTGTTTTTTGAATGTCGCAAGCCAATTTATCTGTATTTCTCTGCTTCAATTTTTGTTATTTAAATAATGTTGCAAATAAAAGTTCGACATAACGACGAGTTATTTGGTGTGACGGAGTTGACTGAGCAGTCGACTTTTGATGAATTGAAGAGGGCTATACAAGAACGTACCGGCATTCCACCTAGGCAACAAGAACGTATGAATACCTTACACGTATTTCTAGCTTCACACATAGATATACATTGATATTTGGAAAAGCATGATATAATAAATGTTTAATGAAATATGTTTTAACAAATTTCTTTTTTGTTATCAGTAAAATTTGGTTATCCACCACGCGTCGCGTCAATAAGTGGAACAGCCACTTTATCCACTACAGGAATCAAAAGTGGCGATATGATCATTTTGAATGAGATTTCTGCGGAACATAATGCGGCAGCGATTACTATTGAACTCGAGAAAAGAAAGTCTCGTGGAGAGGTTATCTCTGTTGCTTCTGACCATGGGGTTGTTGTGCTTAGGGTGTGTATATATATCTATGGTATATTTACGATGTTTTCAAGTTGTTAATTAATTGATGTATTGATTACGTGTAGGAAATGGAAAACGATAATTCTTGTCTCTTTCGTGCAATTGGCAAGTATTTCGATTTTTCTAGAGCAAAAAATATAATATAATCATATCTTGGTTAATTAGGTCTTTTCGTACAAAAATTTTTTTTCTCTAGGGTACTTTTCAGTTTCTTTATTGATTTTTCATAACCGTAATCCAATTCACACAAACATCTTTGTGCTAGTAAAGTTATGTGCTCGAGAGATCAACCGGGTTGGCTCAAAGTTTACGACAAGGTACTTTAATTACTGTTCATCGCATCTTTTCAATTCACTGAAAAATAATTTTTTTATCATCAAAAAAAGTAATAATCGATCACGTGCGAAACGATCCCGAAACATACCCGGACGTATTTCTCGAGCGACCCCGTGGAGAATACTGTAATTGGATTGCCCAGCAGAACAGTTGGGGTGGTGCTATTGAACTCGCGATATTTTCGTCCCATTATAAAGTGGAAATTCGAAGTGTTGATGTGAAGACTGGGCGGATTGATCGATATGGTATGGTGTGGTTTTATAGTTTATTTTGATCCCTTTATCGCACGAATATTATTAAATTATGGTAAATTTGTTGCATATTTATATAGGTCAAGGAAAATACGATCAATGCGTGTATTTGATTTACAGGTACATATAATGATTAATTTATCTCCTTTGTAAATCTACATCACTCTTCTAATTTATGGATTATTATTTTTAGCGGGATCCGTACGTGAAATTTTGGGATTTCGGTGTAATTAGAACAAAAATACTAAAAATAATTTTTCTGTCAGATTATGATGCATTGGCATTAACACCATCATTGGAAGCTAGTGAAGAATACGATCAGACAATCTTCAAGCCTTCTGAGGATTATGTTATTGGATCTGCGATTGCTATTGCACGGAAGATGAAACAGGTACAGGAAATTCATGGACATGGAATTTCTTATCCTATTATTATATAAAATCAAATCTATTATTTTTATAGTTACACAAGTATACGTATACTGCTGATTTCACATTACGCTGTGGCCAGTGTGATAAGGGAATTATAGGTGAGTTAGAGTGATGAATAATGAACCGATCCGTCAAGACATCTAAAATGTTAATATATATATATATATAATTTTAGGTGAGAAAGAAGCTACTCAACATGCTCGAGAAACAGGTAAAAAAGAATATAATTTGGTTTTCCGTGATTATATATAATAGCATACGCGATTTAATTATATTTCTTTATTCATGTAGGCCACACCGAATTTGCAGAATACGCGTAACGAACTAAATATTAAATCGCTCTGCTAAATATCCAATAGCTATTTTTTTTATAAGAATTAGAATTCTATTTATTAACAATTTGCATTTTGAGTGTATTTTTTATTTAAATCTCAAATTTATAAATCGTCCAAATGTCGCATTATATAAATGTCAAGGGATGCCGAGGCAATAGCGACGTATATTCAAACTTTGTATTAAGACAGACAGTTCGTGTCCCTAGTTTGTCATTGAAAGTTTAAAATTATTTTGTTACACAAGCATTTCATATCACGCGTTTTTATATGTTCATTGAATTTCTTTGACGCGTTTCGTAAATTGATGTTAAATTAATTTCTTGAATTGACAATAATACAATAATACAATAATACAAAATGGAACAAATAAATGCCAAACTGTGTGAAATGTTTCCAGGTCGCGAACAGCAAATAGAAACACTATTAAGTCTAATGGGCGAGGTACCAGAATATTTCATTCAAAAATTCTACATCTACAACACGACTAAATGCATAGCATTTAATTTCATCTGCCGATAAATTCTGAACAGCCTCAAGAACAAACACTTCCCGCAATATACGTATACGGAGACCACTCCTTAGGAAAAACAACAGTCATAAAATCCCTCATGAAACTCGCTCTACCACCTCACCAGTACACTTTTATCGATTGTATTGTGTGCTTCGAGCCGCGGATTATGTACCAGCACGTGTTAAACGATTTGACGCAGACGAAACCGACGCCCACGAACAAGTATAAAAGTCAGAAATGTGCGAATTTAAAAGAGTTTGTTGTCAAGGTTGGAGAATGTTGTCAGTTGGGAAAGGATGCTGGTGAGACGCGGTATTTGGTATGTTTTTTTTTGGTACTGAGATTGATTGTCCATGTACGATGCATTTTTTTGAATTGAAACTTTGGTATTTAAAAAGATTTTTGATCAAGCTGAGCGATTGCGTGATAAATCTCCAGATACACTATTACCCACTCTGATGAAGTTGAGAGAATTGGTTAGTACACTATATTAAGATCGTATTTCTCATATACAATAATAATAATAATAATAATATGCTTAATTATTTATTCAATTATTTAAACCGGAAATGGGTAAAAAAAGACGAGACAAAACATTTGTGTGATCCTAATCAGCAACATTCCATGGGAACACTTCATTATAGGATCTTTTTTTTACGCACCTCTGCAAATACCATTTACTGAATATTCGAAGGATATCCTTTTTATTTTATTTTTTATTCTAAATATAAAAATTCACCTACTTCTAAAACAATTACTTGACTCGATTATCAACTACAATACAGGATACACTGAAAATATTTTCCAAACATTGCCCAAACAACATCGACCTCGATTTTTTCCTAAGCTTTGTGAGATTCCTGTACGATGTTTGTAATAGCAATTGCAAAGATCTCTGTGAGATGTTTCAGTTGGCGTTTTCGTTGTTGCCAAAGTATATTGAGCCTGTTGTAAAGGGGCGGGGTAAGATAGAGATTTCGTCATCGTCATAATCATCATTTTCATTTTCTATTGTTATTGTTTTTATAATTATCTTTTATACAATATTAATGTATAAAAATTATATTTTAATAAGCCAAAAAAGGTGATACCTTAACGCTAATTCAACATATTGAGCCTTATTACAGACAGGCAATGGACAAACTGCATCTAAACGAGATATCAAGTTCTCAAAACGCGCAAACTGATGATGGTAGTATTTCATCTATTTAGTTATCAACTTAATGTTTTATTTATGGAAAGTCATCATTTAACCCAAATTTTTTAATTAAGGTATTGATTTACCTTATTACACTAAACTACTGCTAATCGCGTCTTTCCTAGCATCCTACAACCCATCACGCCTCGACAAACGATACTTTTCCAAAGGCTCCGAAGAAACATTACGTCCGTATCGTAGAAAAACCAACCAATCGCAGCAAGGAAGTCCAAAGAAAAGTCCAGCCAAAAATTCTCAGTATGATGCTTCGGGAGGTGGAAAGGTATTCTAAATTATAGTAAATTGTAGACCTGAAATATTGCGAATTTACGTGGCAAAAATACATATAGATATATGTTTATACGGATTGTTATTATTTAGCTTCGCCAACAACTTTTAGGGCCAGTGGCTTTTCCTGTCGAGCGCATGCTGGCAATTTTCGATAGTATTATTCCAGATTCGATTGACGCGAACGTCGAGATTATGAAGCAGGTTTGAGTGATTCTATGTTTTTTTGTTTGTATTCACTTCTACATATATTTATTTTTTGTTATAATGTTATAATAAATATAGGTATCAACCCTAGTTACACTACGGCTTCTGACACGGACAACACCATTCGATAATCTTGACTCAACAAAGTACAAATGTAATGCGAGCTACGAACTTGTCAAAAAGATATCATCTAGTATCAAGTTTCAGATACAGCATTATTTGTATGATTTCGAATGAAAATAATTACTCAATTATCATTCAATCAACCACAACGTGTAAGAACAATATTATTTGTTTTAGTGTTTGACTAAAATCAAAGCATAGATGACCAATAGTTGACGGATTATGCGAAGTTTCTCAGAATTGAACATTCGCTCATTTAATGAACAATTAGAGTCACTAGCTGTTTCACATGAACAATTTCTGATTGGTTGAATCTCTTTATGCAAAAATACATGATTGGTTTTTCATGCTTTCACATAAAAACATGATGTATATCCTAAATACTGCATTTTCATTGGCTTCATGTGACTCATACCTCAACATGGTTATATCACAGGATTTCTTCATGATAAAATATTGACATTATTTGCTATCGCTATATTCAAAGATATCAATAAAAAGTCTGAAATTTTTTCTTTAATAAATTAATATACAACAATTACTATATCGATTGCCACCAAAAGTTATTTTATTATAGAATACCTTGTTTAAAACTTGAATTAGACCCTGGGATATTCTATGAATTTTCTATTCGAGTATCTCATTTAATAGAACTAGTTATGAAAATATTTTTCTCGTTTAACGTTTTTTATTTTTAGAAGTAGCATTCAATTCGCGTTTTTTCTGTTGCAAATTAGCAACTTTTCGTTGCTGTTTCTTTTTCCCGTACTCGATTTTCGTGTACAGCTTCTTTTGTTTCTTGGTCATCATAATTTTTCCCAGTTCTTTTACTTCTTGTTCTTCGGCTGCTTCGATTTCTTTGATCGTTCTCTTTTGGCCGGATGTCTTTTGACCAGATGTTATTGGTTTTGTTGAAGTGGCGGTGCTTTTTGATTTTAGTTGTTTTTGTTGGTATTTAGAGAAAGGTATTCCTTTAGCTTCGGCTTCAAGCTCTTTCATTAGAACCATTTCTTCAGTTTCCTCTTCAGACTAAAAAACAAAAAAACATATGTAATGATTCTTCTCGCCCTTGAAATCTATTACAATTTTTTCTTACCTCGCTAGATGAATCTTCGACCTTTTCTACAATTTTGTTTGACTCTTTAACTTTGACACCATCATTATCATCTTCTCCCTCGTTCTCCTCTTTCACGTCCTCATCTTCCATAGCATCTTCTTGACCATCGAAATGATCTTCAATTGCTGGAATATAATCGCCCTCTTTGTGTTCGACAAACGGCGATAAATGGGGAGGCAACAATTCTCCCGGTTGATATGGTTCGGTAGTTAATAACTTTCTCGCATTCACACAATCATAAACCCACTGCGGTTGGATATAAACGCGTGACAGGAATTGGTGTTTTTGCGAAGGTCTATCGCAAACTTGATGAGTTATAATTTCGTTGGTTTCGTCAAAAAGAGAACCTCCTCCTACAGTTGGATCCCAACTCACTTGTCCACCAAAAGCACGAATCACAAATTCCAATGAATAACGCGGAACTTCGCGTGATAGATAGAAAATACATTTCGAAAATAATTGTTGAAATTCGGATTCAGCCATGGATGCTGAATGAATATCGTAATAAGTGAACATTTTAGTAGTGGACGTTGTCGTCGTGACTTGTTTATTTTCAGCCGTTGATGTAGATTTCCCATTGCTTTGTTGCTCATCAAAATCATCAATTAGTTGATTTTTATTACTATTGATTACAGCTGTTTGAGAATCATCTGTTTGTGTCTCAGCTGCTGCTGATTTGACATCTTGTACTTTAATTTCTGTTATCTTCTGAGCTAGCGTTTTTAAACGTTTCTCCCATTCTTTTTTCTGGGTCAATTCCTTTTTAACATCGTCTGTTTCATTACCATCATCGTCATGGTTGTCATTATTGGTTTTTTCTGGTTTTTTTGATTGATCAAATATATTTGCTGAAATATTTGTAGACTCGATCAAATACGCGTCCAATCCAGCCGCTTCATCATCTTTTTCTTTGTCGAATTTTGGCGGGTACAATAAATTAATATCGGTGAATAATTTATAATTTATAAATCCGACAAGGGTTTGATAAAATTCCAGAAACGTTAACATTACGCGAAAGTCTACGTCATCTGGAACCTAGATATAATTTCAATTGATTCAAATATTGAGCTTGCAAATTGATATTATTACTGCTGTTAATTATTATTTAGTTACCTGCTGACTGAATTGATACGGCACAATCCAATTTATCGTCTGTCCTTTAATCTCCGCCTGATAATAAATTCCTTTTATCGACAAAAACGTCTTTCGTAAACTTCTTGTGTGCATTACATAGTGCTGAAATTCGGACGATAAGCGCCGACAATTATCCACTGTCTCGTTTTTTATTTTATCGGTGGCGGGAAAGGTGGAGAATAGAAAGAGCATGCATAGTGCATCATCGAGATCTCGTAATGCTTCAATGAATGATGGGTATCTTTTTCATCAAAAAATATATACATCAAAGAATTTACGTCAAAGAAATAATTAAAAAATAATCAATTAAAAACAAATGTACCTCTCTTTAATAATATGATCCAAGGTATACACTGGCTTATTTTTCTCCAAATTTTGCGCAACCCCAATTTGCCGTTTTCCTAACGCTTTACTGAGCTTCCGCACGAAAATCTTATACTCTCTGAATTTTTTTAGTACTGGCTCGTGCAATAAGTACTGAATGTCTTTGGTGTAATAGAAGGTCGCGGGGGCCGTTGACCCTTTGTTTGCCTTCTTTTTGTTTTTCGGCTGGCGTGGGTAGATGCCTTTTAGAATGCATATACGTCTAAAATCTGCAAGTGTCACTTGTAGCTTTTTAAGCGCTTGATTACGCGTAATATAATTTATAGCTGCACCGGATTGTCCTTTTTTCTTTAGTTTGCCCATTTTTTTCTTAAAAAAAAATATCGATGTAAAATTTGTGATCACCAGAAAATTCTATCTGATCTTAATTCGGTCTATCTGGTAGAAATCAACGTTAATTTCTATGTATAAAGAATTTCTATGCCACATTCACGTGAGCAAAAAAATCGGTTGGAAATAAGCTAGTCCATAATGTTGGGCATAATTTTGGTATAATTCTAGCGGAAACTGTAAGACTATTTAATCAAATAATTTTCCGGGGTTCAAATAAATCATCACCGCAAACCCACAAACTTTCATCAGAATCTACAACGATAAGGGATGATTTACTGATACACTGTCACAAGAATTTTTTTGTCAAGGGTATGGTTATACGATCTAGCTATATTTATTTACTAATAAATATTAGAATTGACTATTTATATTTTATTACACTTTGTTTCTCTCAAAAAACATTTTTTCCTAGCTCCAATTACGGTATTCACTCACACATCACCCCAACTAATTACCCAACCAACCAACCAATTTCAACTTTTATTTTTTACCAGATACTTTTTCATTCTCATCCACACTTTCTAGGAACACAAATTCTCCACGACTTCCTTAAATTCTTATAGTATTAATAACACAATTTATTAATTAATAATGAGTTCAAACAGACGTGGAACTGGTGCTCGCTCATCGACTGCTACTGCTACCACCACTACCAACAGCGCAGCTGCTTCAACTTCTAGCTCAAGTAAAGTCAACAAAACAAGCCCTAGTGTAGCAAGTAGCAGCGCCAAAAGGTTCGTCGTAAATGGAACGAGATAAATTCCTTAAAATTACAAAATTTAACGCGTCAATTTGGAATTTCTTTGAGTGAACCGGAAATTCCAGTTAGACTCTCACCTTTTGTTTATGGAAAGGGGAATAGGATACATAGTTTCACGTTACTTGCTCACATTTTGCTTCATTATGCATGCATGCATGTATAAATTTTACATGCGAAACATAGAATTCAAAAGGAACTTGCGGAAATCAGTCTTGATCCTCCTTGTAATTGCAGGTTTGCGTTTTAACCAACTTATTGATAAATGGGATTTTTCGATAGATTCGTTGATTTTGTTGGTTACTACAACCATCGATTGTTCCATATAATTATTAAAGTTTTCCCAACTAGTTTTTGTTTATGAATAATGCTAACAATTAATCCTAATCATTAACAATTGATAATAGTGCTGGACCCAAAGGTGACAACTTGTATGAATGGGTGTCCACAATTGTAGGACCTGCCGAGTCACCTTACGCTACGGGGATTTTCTTCTTGGACATTACTTTTCCACAGGATTATCCTTTTAAGCCTCCAAAAGTTATTATTGTTTGATATTCAATCGTCAGAATATTTTGATAGTTTTTACGAATTATATAATTCACCAATAATTCTCGCATCCTTTAGGTTGTCTTCCGTACGCGTATCTACCACTGCAATATCAATTCAACTGGTGCAATTTGTCTTGACATTCTCAAAGACAATTGGTCTCCCGCATTAACTATTTCTAAAGTACTATTGTCTATATGCTCGCTGTTGACAGATGCCAATCCACGTAATTATAAGCTACTTCTTGTATTAGTGTCATTTCTTATTATTTTGACTCGAACAAATTAATTTGAAAGCCTTGAACATAATTAATAATTAATGTTTATTCTTACGATTTAGATGATCCCTTGGTAGGGAGTATTGCAAATCAATACCTGCATGATCGTGAAGAACATGATAGGACTGCCAGGGAATGGACTAAACGGTATGTAATAATATGATATTTCGAAGCCAAAATACAAAAGTTAGATCGATGTGAGAGTGTGAGAGGTCATTGAGGTTTTGTATTTGCATTTTGTGTATCCTTCGAAAAATCTTAATAACATGTGGTTTCCTTTTTCCTTTACAGCTACGCTTGTTGATCGTTTGGGTGGGTGAACATAAAAAATATTTAATATATATATATACATAATACATTCACAAGTATATTTTATTAGTGATATGATCTTTCCCTTTTTTATTCCTTTTCGGCTTCTATGGCGACGACACTTTTACCTTAACTTGAACACTTTACTACTTAATTAACTTACTACATTGATAGAAATTCAACTAACTACTAATCAAATAAAATAAATAAACCCGTATTTTTTTCCTTTAACATTATTGTACTTAAAGCTGAGAGAATGGTTTTGTATTAGTTACACTATCAAAGCATTTCATCCTTTTTAATCCTCCTATACTTCCTTAATACTATTCTTATTACCATTACTACTCTTTGCTCTTTGTAAACTTACTGCTGTTTTATTATTTTTTTTTATAATCAGTCATCATCTTGTAAAGTACAAAAAAGGTTCGATCAAGTTTTCATTCAAAAATAATAACAATGATTATAATTATTCTCGAACTATATATAATGTGCACAAGAAATCGTAAACGGTGCAGAGTCACCGGATGGATTGAATCGATCAACCAATTAGCATAACTAAGGCTCCATCAAGCAATACCCGGAGAAAAATTCCCCGGGCGCCATTTAAGTCCCTATTAATCCGAATCCCACATGCGCACCTAACATCTTTATTTCCACCCAAATTCCTCTTAATGTATCCACAATAACTGCACGTTTTGCTTCTGACACCGACGTTATAACAATCTTACCAAATTCTTCCATCTTAAATACCAATCGTTTCCTAAACCTCGCATGCGCCCAACTCATCATCTTCCGAATTGTCCTATTATTCCTTGTCGGTGTCGTGACATTCGTGTGCTATCAAATGTTGACAAACTATTATATCAAAAGTACGAGCCAACCACAATGCAGTTTTTTGTGTACTTCATCCACTAAATTTTGGATGCATTTTCTTAAGCTCATTTATAGGGTTGCACTTCTTTGCTGGTACATGAAATAAGCACATCCAGATAAAGACAAAGGCGTACAATACAGTTAATATCATTGTCACCGAAATTGCCATAGCTGACTGTAGGTGAATACCATGCGAGAAAAATTCGGATGCCAGGATCAATGGCTGCAACATGGATTTCTTCCGCCTGATTCTCACGGATAGACTTTTCATACACCCATACAAATGTCCAATGTCCTAATTTTCTCTCGTATATTAATTTCGAGTCCATTGTAGCTTTTCCAGTAAAAGTGTACTTTTATATATAAAAATAATAAAATAAATCGATTTTAATACTAGTGCTCGACGAAAATAATTTATTATGTGCCATATCAATTCTTCGAAAACTTTATACAGTCAAACCTTGTTATAGTGAAGGTGAGACAGTGCCGGAAAAATTTATTCACGATCGTTAAACCTCCTAATCGGTGGTAGGAATCACATGATTCAACACAGAGTACTAAGATCGGGAAGTGTTTAATCACGTGATCATTTCCGGGCCAGTGCGACGGGTCACGTGTAAATATATTAATCAGGTGATATCACCTGATAGTGTGAAGAAATCAATCTTTATTCTCTTAATTTCATCTATTATAAATAACATTATATTTGCATCAATACATTTCCTAGCCACAACAATTACCCGAAACATTCCGCACTAATTAAAGGTCAGGGTTATATTACGCTACTCACAACTCATGTCATGCTCGGACATAAGTAAGCTATGTACGAGCATGGTCTTTTTAGGCATCCCGTGTTTTTGCATTGTTCATTTTTTTGTTCAGATTATCAGGGATCGGAAAAACACGTGAAGGGAGGTTTGAGTGTATGACTCACAAAATTCATATATGACTCGATAAAAGCATTCGCCCTTTTCTTTCTCATAAAGTTTTAACAATCAGTTCACATTTGCAAAGAATCACCTAAAAGAGAAAACTAAAAAGGACAATGTCCAACACAACTACCGCGGAAGAACCAAAAAAGACAGCAAAACGCGATGTGTTACGTGCAACCGAGCACCAAATCCAAAAAATATGGCAAGACGCCAAAGTGTTCGAGGTGAATGCACCAACCATAGACGAGGTTTCGTTTGAACAAGAGACCTCTGGCGAAATCAAGTTACATGAACGGTACCCCAAGTATATGGGCACTTTTCCTTATCCGTATATGAATGGCAGATTGCATTTAGGTCATTTCTTCACAATTACTAAAGTGGAGTTTGCTATTGGATATGAACGAATGAAAGGAAAACGGGCATTGTTTCCTTTGGGTTTTCATTGTACTGGTATGCCGATAAAGGTGGGTTGGTGACTGGAATGAGTGATAGAGAAAAAAAGATGTTTGATTTTTGATGTGTGGTGTTGCTAAGGCATATTAACATTAACTAAATAATATTAATAATAATTACTCTTTTATAGGCATGTGCAGATAGACTAGCACGAGAAATAGAAAAATTCGGTCCAAATTTTGAAATACCGAACGAAATAGAAGATGATGTTAACAATCTAACACTGAATGATACCAATTCCTCTAGTACCTCTGGAAAAGTCGTAAATAAAAAAGGAAAAGTCGCGGCAAAATCTACCGGGCAGAAATATCAGTTTCAGATTATGCGCAGTTCCGGAGTACCTGAGAAAGAAATTGCTAATTTTGCTGATGCAAACTATTGGTTATCGTATTTTCCGCCGTTGGCTATTGTAAGTGATCTAATTTATCTTTTTTCCGTTTCTTTTTTATACATTCATATATTTTGATAGTATTTTTAGCAAGACTGTAAATCCATAGGAGCAAAAATTGATTGGCGTCGTTCATTCATCACTACCGACGTCAATCCATACTACGACTCATTTGTGTGTTGGCAAATGCGAAAACTGAAATCACTAAATAAAATAAAGTTCGGTGAACGATACACGATTTATTCACCGTTGGATGGACAGCCATGTATGGATCACGATCGACAAAGTGGAGAAGGTGTCGGGCCACAAGAGTATACAGGGATTAAGTTGAAGGTTATTGAGTGGAGCGAGAAGGCAAAAAGTGCAGTTGTTTCACTTGAGCATTTGTTTAGTGGAAAATCTATTTTTCTTGTGGCTGCTACTCTTCGACCTGAAACGATGTGAGTCATCATTATTATTTAATCTTGCAAATTGAAATGAGCAAAGTAAAATAAATAATATATTTTTATGTAGGTTTGGTCAAACAAATTGTTTTGTTGGTACAGAGATTACATATGGCCTTTTCAAAATCAATGAAACTGACATATTTCTGTGCACAAAACGAGCAGCAAGGAACATGGCATTTCAAGGATATTCGAATGAACGAGGTGTAGTGACTCAAATAGCAGAAATAAAAGGTGCTGACTTAATCGGCACAAAAGTCAAGGCACCGCTAAGTAAATACGAAGACGTATATGTACTCCCAATGGAAAACGTCCTGCCTACAAAAGGAACCGGTGTAGTAACATCCGTTCCTTCTGACTCTCCTGACGATTTTGCCACTTTACAAGATCTAAAAAAGAAACCCGAATACTATAACATTAATCCCGCCTGGGCTAATTTTGAGCCTATCCCCATAATCAACACATCCACATACGGGAACTTGGCAGCGCCGACTGTATGCCAACAAAAGAAAATCAATTCACAAAAAGATCGCGTACAATTGGCGGAAGCCAAAGAACTTGTCTACAAAGAAGGATTTTATAATGGCACCATGATTTACGGGGATTACAAAGGTCGTACAGTGCAAGAGGCAAAACCGTTAATTAAAGATTTGTTGATATCAACTGGTCAAGGGTTTGTCTACAAAGAACCGGAGAATCTAGTGATGTCTCGATCAGGGGATGAATGTGTGGTGGCGTTATGTGATCAGTGGTACTTGGATTATGGGGAGGAGGAATGGCGAAAGCAAGCAGAAGATTGTTTGGTTAAAATGAATACTTATGGAAACGAGACAAGACATCAGTTTGAACAGACTTTGGCATGGTTGAACCAGTGGGCTTGTGCGAGATCGTACGGTCTCGGTAGTAGACTACCTTGGGATCCACAATATTTGGTGGAAAGTTTATCGGATTCTACTATTTATATGGCTTATTATACAGTGGCTCATTTATTACACGGTAATTTTCGTTGATATCAATTTTATTTATTTTAACTTAATGCTTTATATTGTTACTTTATAATTAGGAGGAACACTCGATGGATCAAAGCCAGGGTCTCTTGGCATCAAACCCTCCGAACTGACAGATGAAGTATGGGAATATATATTCACCGACTCGGCATCATATCCCGCCGATACCACAATCTCCAAAGAAAAACTCGACAAATTAAAACGCGAATTTAAATATTTTTACCCACTGGATATTCGAGTATCCGGAAAAGACCTAATCCCCAACCATCTCACCTTTTTCATTTATAATCACGTCGCCCTCTTCCCAGAACACTATTGGCCAAAAAGTACACGTGCAAATGGTCATCTACAATTAAACCGTGAAAAAATGAGTAAAAGTACCGGAAATTTTATGACTGGTGCGGATGCTGTCGAAAAGTATGGTGCAGATGCTACACGGGTTGCGCTTGCTGATGCAGGGGATGCAATTGAAGATGCTAATTTTGAAGAGGCGACTGCTAATGCGGCTATTCTTCGTCTTTATACTTTGAGAGAGTGGTGTGAGGTATTTAATTGATTAGTTGAAAATCGTAAATTTTATTTTTTATGCGTTACTGATTATACATTTAATTATGCGCACTTAGAGCCAAGTAGAGAATAAAGATACTTTACGAACAGGTCCTGTTACCAGTTTCCATGATCGAGTATTTATTAATGAGATTAACAGATTAATACAAATAACAGATAAAGCGTATGAAGAGTAAGTATTTATGTATATCAAAATTCTGAATATCGACAAAATTTAAATTCACGTTGCTAAAATATACATATAGTACTTTATATCGCGAAGCACTCAAATACGGTTGCTATGAGCTACAATCAGCACGTGACTGGTATCGAGAAGCCACAGCGAAAGAAGGAATGCATCGTGACTTGGTGTTGTGGTGGATAGAAGTTCAGGCGTTGTTGTTAGCTCCCATTGCGCCTCATTGGTCAGAACATATATGGCAGAATCTTTTGAAAAAGGTTTCTATGATTTGGATTTGGATTTGGATTTTTGTATTATGATATTTTAAGGTTTCGATTTTTAATTTTTAAGAACATATTTTTGCCGTATTTGTAGGATGGTCTAATCGTCAATGCACAATTCACAAAAGAGACTGCACCTCCAGACGAAAGTCTCCTCAAAGCCGCCGAATACGTACGAAAAATGATCAAATCCGTACGAGATCTTGAGAATGCAACACAACGAAAGAAAAAAAAGGGGAAGGTTGAAGCATTCAACCCTTCAAAACCGAAGCATTTGAACTTATTTGTAGCTACTCGGTTTCCCGAGTGGCAGGATGTGACGGTCGATGTATTGAGACAGAGTTATAATGAGGTATGACAATTTATCCGATTTTTTTATTAATTAATACGACCATAAGTAATTATATAAATATATTAAACTCCCTCCCCGAAAAGGAAACAAATACATTCGACGATACAAAAATCCGCACAATTTTAGCCGAAAAAGAGCTTTTGAAAAACAAAAAAACAATGCCATTCGTACAAGAATTCAAGAAACGCGTCGAGAAATATGGCGCTTCTGTGGCATTTGATCGTGCTCTGTTGTTTAACGAGTACGACACTCTCATCACTACACGCGAATTCTTTAAACGTAGTTTGGGGTATGAGAAGTTGGATGTCTATAGGTCGGAGGAAGTTGTTGGTGTTAATCCTGGTCTTCTTGTTGAAGATCAGAACGCAGCTGAGGTTGCTGTTCCTGGTGAACCGGGGGTTGTGTTTAGGAACATTTAGTTTTAATACTTTAATTTAATTGTGTATTTTATTATTTTAATAAAAATTGATTATTTTCGATCGAGTAGTACAAAATCGATTAATAAATTAATCGCGGGTCTAAATGCTCAACTTTATAACTATGGCTTCGATACCTACACCACCGCCACCGCCGCCGCTACCTCCACCAATACAACCACAAACAAGTTCAACCTCACAAACACCACAACCCACATCACCGACAACCTCGACAGCCTCTTCCTCTACAAATTTACAAGATTCGACAAGAGTTGTGTCGGGTTCTGGTGGTGGTGGAAGTATTACTGACTTGTCGGACGTGCAGTCGCCGTTGGAGCTTACTGGCTACGTATGTTTTTCATTGTTTTTGCAAGCGGAGTTTGAATTTGTGCTGCTGGGTTTGGAAAAGGGTGTTTGTTGTTAGTGTTTATAAAGCTCGTTGATTTATATGCGGATTTTACTTTTTGTAGGTGGAAACTGTTATACAGCAGCTGGTGAGTATTTTCGTGATTTACTTTTTGTTATTTTATTTCATTTCATTTTCTGATGTTATCTTCTTTCTATGATATATAGCAAACGAAATTTGACGACTTATCCTCAAAATTAATAACCAAAAGTAAATTAACTAATATAATTTCTATTTAATTTTATCATTTTGAGTTTATTAATAATTTCGAATTAATTATTAGTGGAAGACATGGGAACACGAATAGACTCGCTCGAGAAGTCGCTTGGCGAGTTGATGCAACAAGCTATCGCGGAGGAAGTTCTTTTGCAGGAGGCGACGAGTAAATAACTATTATTCGTCTCCTCGTATTTTTATTTTATTGTCTAATGGATTTTTTTATTTTTGATCAGATAAATCACATAAATCAAAAATAACAAATAGTTTAATTAATTTAAGTTTATTTCAACTCCACTTATTATATATTTAGTATGTATAATAATAATTATAACAATAATAATAATAATAATAATAATAAATAGAAACATTATAAATTAAAAGATACAATCAATCACCCAAATCCATTTACCCATTCATTATTTTGTCGAAGCAGCAGTAGTAGTTACAGTAGACGACTGCGCTTCGCTCTTTTTCACACTGCCATCACCAACATTTTCCGATGAAGGAACAGACAACAAGTCAATAATTTTCTCGAGCATCGGGTTACCACCAAGTCGTTTGATCTCGTCACGCGCTTTCTGTTCTGTTTTTGCAAGAAATTGTTCGGTGTATTTGAACGATCCGCTTTCCTGCATTAGTTTTACGGCGTAGTGCTTTAGGTCAATTGATGAGGTGTGTTGTTTTAGAATGTCTTTTTGGGAGGAAAAGTAATAATAATGTATTAGACATCATCATTTACTGGAAAGGATGAATGTTTCTTAGTCAATTTGTTACGACTGATTTACTTACTTAATAATTGACGATTTGATAAATCGGATTGTATCGAATGTATGATTGGAAATGAGAATTTTCCTTCAGTCAAATCTTCACAGAAACCTTTGTTATCAGTGTACTATTACATAATAAAAAATCAATCAAATTTCGTCATTTAATTACTGAATGATCAATTGATTTAAATATCCGTTTTTTTTTTACTTACGACAGAGGATTGTAGGTTCATGTAATCATCTCTGACTTGAAAGTGTATCCCGATCATGTTTACTAGATTTACATAATCGCTACTAAAATGATTTTTTTCTTAGGAATCTGACATCATGTAAGAAAGAAAAGCAAGACGATTATAAGAACCTTACTCGTTTATACTGCTAGCTCCAGACATTAATTTCACAGCAAGTCTTAAGAGACCACCGGTTTCTTTAGATTAAAGAACTAAAATTAATATCTAAATTAAGAATATTTATCACGTGATCAAATTTCAAATCACTCACTATTTGAAACCATTTCAATAAACTCTTCTTCGGATGGACACACCAACGTATCACGCCAATATAATTCCATCCCCTGTCCACGATGCAAATTCATCAATTCCTCGGTATAGATAGTAAACATTATCGGATTCTCGAGTTTCGCGAGTTCATTTAATGCGAGAAAGTATACGTAGTTGGCGCAGTTGATTGTCGCCGGTACACCATAAATTTGGTGGGCGACTAATATTTGTGTGTGACGAAAGTTTAATACATCCCGTAAACAGACGGTGAAGTAAATAATGAATTGTTTACCTGGAACACCTCGTCTTAGTGTAGAGTCATCTTCTACGTCATCAATCCTATTATTATTTTTGGGTAAGCTCTGACTGATCAAGTACATGCACAAAGAATCAAATAACCCAAAAACTTACAATAAACTTGCAGTATGCAGCATTTCGACAACTTTTGTTATAACGACTAGTTGTTCTTTGGGAACTTTGAGCCACCAATCAAATGCTTCAATCAATTTACTTCGAATTTCTTTGCCAGGGTGTGCGAGAAGGTAATGGTATGGTTCTAGTAGAATCTATGTTGACAACAAGAAAAACGAAAGATACAAAGAATGATCAGATCGATCATGGTTCGTCTAATGTGATCAACTGATTTAATACCTCTTCTAACACCCATGATGTATTGCTACTATTACTGTCATTATCATTATTACTATTTTTACTTAAAGACGAATAACGAATGGTTTTTGACGACGAGAACTTTTTGTCGCTGTTGTCGATATTGGTGACATTGGTGACATTGGTATTGCTGTTGCCGAGACTTTTTCGTTGTGATGATTTATTGAATGGCTTAGAAAAGCTGCTGGCCACTTTTTTCATCTGTTTTGTTTGATTTTGGTTAAGTTTTTGATATATTAATTTCAGAAAACGACAAATAGTAATACTTTTCGTGACATGTGCTGCGAGGAAGGTCAATAATTTTTATATAATATAAAATCTGTGTAGGGAAAAATAGAAAATACCCTATTGTATGTGTGTACATTTTATTATGTAATACATATAATGTTCTTGTATCAACGGGCATAATCACTGTTTTTAATAATTCAAATCAAAATATTTTTGCTTTGTTTCGCTTTTGAAGATTCCGATTCTGCGTAAAATGACATGATGATGCAATGCCGTAGAAACCTTTAAATTCCTAAATCTAGTAATTTGATTGAACATTGATAGTAGATGAACATCTTATTTTCGTGGAGTTTAGTCAGGTGCTCATTCAAATTTCCATAAATAACAACGATGGTAATTGTCAAACCACTTTTTTTAGTTATATACTATGTTTATCCCGACAAGGAAATTTTACTATGCGTCATAGTCTGTCTATTCATCTTGTCGCCGAACATTATATTTTTATAAAATTCTCGAACCTTATTTTCTCGTCTCGACAAATAATTATCAATTTTAAACTTGATCATTTCGATTCATGCACATGCCAATAAAAATTAAATATATTGCTGTGTATCGATCAAAAACGATCTTGTAATGTTTATGACAAGTCGAGTTCGAGTTTTCTTCGCTACCTATGACTCAAATAAACTCAAAATTTATCTTGTTGAAAAACTAAAATTTCGGGATTTTTCTATTCTTGTTGCAATTTCGGGTTGCGTCCCATTACAGTGCAAACCTAAATTTTGTGCACAAAATTTAGATTTTTCGAATTGCGTAAATTTCGGTCATATATATATTAGTATGAGAAACGGAGTTGATAAACACAATGTGGTAATGCCAATAAAGAATTTTCGGCCTGTTTGTCCTGTATTGGATCCAAAAAGGTTTCTTTCGACGAATTTCTGCTGATGTGGAGTGTGCTCTCCTTTATTACGGGTTTGTGTATCCTATCTTGTAGGCATAATCCTGTGTACTTGTATATTGATGTATTCAAAACATGAAATTTTAACGCTAATTTAGACCAATTGGTGTTTTTGGATATCACAAACGAATTTATAAAGTTGAATGATTTAGCGAAAATAAAGATTTAGTTATTAATCTCGCAAAAGGAGGCTTTGGAACAATTTGTAAAGCATCATTGCGCTTTTATGATAAATGGGACATGGAGAAAATAAACTGAAAGACACAAAGTGGTTACATACATGTAATTCAAAGCAAATTACATTATCGTTATGAAAAATTTCTAGTGCATCCAAATACGTAAAATTGAATTGGGAAGAAAAAATAGTGCATTTCTATTGGATTAATGAACTGAATGCAATTCACAAAGAGGTATTTGTGCAGTCTTAGAAATATATTAATAACGGAGTACTTCTTTATATGTGCCATACATTAAAACTGCAAATATTTATTTATGATTGTGAACGAGGTATTTCCAGATGGTGTAAATTATTTATTTTTTTTGAGAGATTGTAAATCGATTATTTGTTAATTTAAATATTGGTTATAGAGAAATTTGATTGTATTAACAATCTTTTTCTGCATTGTTAATAATTTTTCTAAAAATGTGATTATAACTGAAGTTACAAATATTTATTGTAAATGTTGTATATTTTTATGACTATTGATTATCAATATTAAATATCTTGTACTGAATTACAATACTTATTTTTGGTTATAACTTTACTTAAATTCATATTTTATGTTTTTTGTGAATTAAAATATTATTTTGACCAAACTAAAAAAATACTTTGTAAATATAAAATAAAGATATTCAAGTTAATAAAAAATAGTGTTTTAATTCACAATAAAAAACACAAAATTTAGATTTAAATTAAGTTTAGCCAGAAATAAGTGTTAACTATTTGTAAAAATATATAGTATTTATAATAAATATTTATAGATATAAAATAAAATATTTAAGTTATATTTATAAAAAATGATCAGAAATTAACAAATATTATATAATTTTTGAATTATAATTTTTAGCAACTAGTAATTAGAATTTAATGATTTTTAATATATTGAATTTGTCTTATAAAGACAAAAATTTTGATAATTTTTTTATACAAAACTAATCAATATTAATTATTATTTTATTTTGAAATTAGTATAGTATTTAATAACTTTTGTTCATTTTTACATAAAGTTCTAATTTTTAATAATAATATATATAAATTTGATTTTTTACAAATTAATATATAATTTATATATTAAAAATTAAATTCAAACTTAAATTATCAAATTCAAGTTCAATTTAATTTCAAATTAAACTAAATTAAACTAAACAAATCAAACTTTAGAATTTTAAATTTTAAGCAAAAATATATTATTATTACTATTAGTAACCTTTATAAATAAAGATTTTTACTATATAATAATATTTATATAAAAGATTGAACTTAAAGATGGCATGACAACTATTACAACATGGTGATAATAAAGTGTTATCTAGTTATAACTAGTTACAGCTTATAAAATTTTGGAGTTGCAACGTGTTGCAATGGATAACAAATAAGCGTCATATACTTACTGTGTCATCTTTAGTTGAACTATTAAATTGTTATAATTTAATTATCAAATAATAAAATAATGGAGTTGAACATATCTTCAACAAGAAATCAATAAATTTAAATAAATAATTATCAAAACTTTTTTGAAGTACTGATAATAATAACTTATATAAATATAATTATAAATATTATTTCTACTAGATTACAATATATATATATATATATATTACAAACTAGTTGTATTAAATTATTATGAGTAAATTATAAGTAAATTATTACTTACTTACTTGTTTTCATGCTCTATAACCTTATTATTGCTTTATTATTATCTATTTGATTTTATTACTTTTTAGTCTTTTTATTGCTTATTACTTTTTAGTCTTTTTATTACTTTATAGATATTTACTTGATTTTATTGATTTGTTCTCTTTTTATCATCTTTTAACTATCTGCTTGTTTTTATTGCTCTGTGATTCAAGATGCTAGACTGACATTGATTACAAATAATCATGTTGTGATCAAGTAATGCAGTAAATTTGTGAATCAAATTTTGATCAACACTATACTATATTTTTGATCTGATTTTTAAAGCAAAATATTTTGGCTTTCTGTAATTGAATTCATGCGATTTTGTGATCATTTGAAAGAGAGAATTGAGAGCTTTTCAATAATGCTAAAATTGCGTAAATTGGATGCTGGATACCAAGTTATTGTGTTTTAAAGTTTTGGAAAAAAATATGAAATAGTGCTGGCTAAAATTAACAAAATTTACTGTACCTTATTGTATTAATCACATGTTTCAATTCCTTGCCAGTTCCAGGCATTTTTCTGTCACTTTCAAGCAGGGATGGCAAAGTGACATAAATGACATAAATGACATCAATGATATGTGATATGTCATGATGTCATTTTAAAGCAGTAATGACATAGGATGTCATTTAAAAAAAAATTATGTAAATTTATAAATTTAATAATTTAAATATAGCTAAAATCATATGCTGAGCATTTTTATTTAAAGGTTGAAAAATAGTCATCATAGTAAAATTTTAAGAATTTTATGATTTTTAATCCAAATTGTGAATTAGAATCAACATCTGCTGTTTGCATGTGTTTTTTGTAACAGAAGTAATTTTCCACTATAGTATTCTTAAGATTGATTGAAAGATCAAAATACAAGTTATATAATAATGGTTTGATCAATTTCTTAGCATAAATTCTCATTGAGATATGATTGTTTGAAATTATAATATAATAAAATTTGTATAATACTTTATGCTTACATATTGATTGATTATCAATGCGATCAAATTATTGAAAATTTATCATCGAATCAATAAATACAGGAGCTTCAAGTGAATTATTAAACAAATTAAACAATTCCCATTTTGCTAAAGAATCATCAGCTGGATGAATATCATGACCACCAAATTCAAACTCAAAATTTTCAACGATTTCACTTTCTGGTAAATAATTTTCTGTTTCTAACATTTCAAACCAATTTTCTATTACTCTTTCCCAATGCTCTTGATCACTTACTTCAATATCTTGAATTGTGTTTGTATCTTCGATTATTGTTGTATTTGAACTTGATAAAGTTTCTATAATTTCATCTTCATCTTCTGAAAATTCAGTTGATAATTCATATTCATCATATTCATCAATTTCATTATTACTTTCAGTTTCACTATATTGTTGAATAGGAGTGGCAATATGCATTCGCTTATATTGCTTTTCTGATATTTCAATTTCATTACGTTTTCTTTTATATATAATATCACTTCGTAATTGACTCATTGCCAAAACCTTTTCATACTATAAGATAAGTATATTAAAATATATTTGATATATATTTAATTAATTATTAATTTTTTATACTGTTGTGATATGAATTTTAGCATATCACATGACTTTTCATAGTTAATTTTCATTGGATAATTGATTTGTAAATCATA